AATCTATATAGCCCCGCCCTAGCACTAGAACCTCTGACCCTTGGGCCATGAAATTCAATATTTTGGAAGAGGCAGCCTTATTCAACATAGCTATGCACTTGGTTAGTGTATATAATGCCCGTGAACAGAGAAGAAGAATTTCAAAGAATTTTTGGATTTTCAGTATATAATCTATATAGCCCCACTCTACCACTAGATCCCTGACCCTTGGTCCATTAGATTCACTATTTGAGAAGAGGCAGTCTTATTCGACATAACTATGCACTTAGTAAGTTTATTTAAAGCCCACAAACAGAAAAGAATTTCAAAGAATTTATGCATTTTCACTATATAATCTAAATAGCCCCGCCCTAGCACTAGAGCCCCTGACCCTTGGGCCATGAAATTCACAATTTTGGAAAAGGTGTTCATTTTCAACTTTCCAATGCTTAATGCCCAGGTGCAGAAAAGAAGAATTTCAAAGAAATAATGCATTTTCACTATATAACCTGTTTAGCCCTGCTCTAGCACTAGAACCCCTGACCCTGGGGCCATGAATTTCATAATTTTTGTAGAGGACTAAATGCTGATTATAATCATACCAACATTAATGTGGTTTTTGCCCCACCCCCATGCCCCGGGGGGGGGGGGGCGCAAGGTACATGAAATTCACAATTATTGTTTTCCTTTACTCATAGATGCTTTGTGCCAAATTTGGTTGAAATTGGTTCAGTGGTTTCAGAGATGAAACTTAAAATGTTCAAATGTTAATGCACGACGAACGACGGACGACAACAGATAGCAATAGGTCACCTGAGTTTCCTCAGGTGGGAAAAAATACAGGAAAGAGCACTACGTTTTGTTCATGATGACTACAAAAATTCATATAGTTATCTTCTGGACAAATCAAAATTACCATGCCTCAAACTCAGGCGTATTAGAACAATGGCCATAGAATGTTTTAAGATTTCAAACAAGCAAAGTCCATCTTACCTGCACGATTTATTCATATAAAAAAACACCTTATTCTTTTAGATACACGAAAACTGTTGTTTTACCAAAAACAAGATCAACAACATATTGGTTGAAGTCTTTTAGATATGAGTCCGCAAAACTTTGGAATTCTTTACCAGAATCTTTTAGAAATATTACTACTTTTCACCAGTTCAAATCTAAAATAAATAGTTGGTACGGAAATTGTTGTAATTGCTGTGCTTGTCGCTAGTTTATTTTTAGAGACTAGTAAACAGGGTTTAATTTATTTTCGGATTGTTAGTTTTAATGTGGTGAATACTAGGTCATTGTATAGCACCACAGAGTTATAGTGATATTTAAGTAGTCTGATGTAATTTTTTAAAAATTTTCTTGCTTATTATGTATGATTGTTGTATTTTATGTAACATTATTACGGAAAATAGCTCTTCAGAGCTAATGTTCTTTATTGATGTACTCGACTTTAAATTAATATTATCTCATTTTATCTTATCTTGACAAAATGGCCATGGGGATTTTGAGATATGGCCAATATTCCAAAACAGACAAATTGATCAAGTTACATGTACTGACAAAAGACACATAGACAACAAAGTCATTATAACATATATATATATTTTTTAACAGCAATACAAAGTAACAATACATTATTCCACCAGTTATTAAATGTAAATATAAACAACAAAAACAACAAAAAACTTTTTCTGCATAGATCACCTTTTCTATTCTTAGTCAGGATTTGAAAAAGAAATTAGTAAACTTATACACAAGTAATTCAAAATAACCTTTCAATATCCAATAAAGTCAACAAAAAGTGTTTCTTTAAAAAAAAACAACGAATATACGATTGTTTAATTTGCATATGAATGCTATGGTATTCATAATTTTGAAAGAGGCACCATTGATCGTTGTAACTATACATTTAGCAGTTGCTTAGTTTGGTTACTTAATACCCATAGGCAGGGTAGGGGAACAAAAAAATGCATTTCAACTAATCAGTAATATTCAGCAATAACCAGTAGTGCCCCTACCACTCATAAACCTCTGACCCTTAGGCCTAGATCCACGCATTGCACAATTTTTGACAAGACATCCTTGCTTTTCAAAAATATTTGATTAATGCCAAGGAACAGATTTCAAACAATTTATTCATTTTCAGTAAATAAGTACAGCCCCCTCTCTATGGTACCCCTGACCCTGGGACCTTCAAATTCCAAATTCTGGAAGATCAGGGCCCGTGCTCACAATAACTATAGGTAGTTCATCTGCTTAATACCCAGGAGCAGAGAAAAAACAAGATGTGTTTGTGAAACACTATGCGCCCGGCGTCAACAAAGTTCGAAAAAGCTATTTTTAGTATATAAATCACAGTCAAGGTCACAAGGTCATTGACCTTGGTGTTGTTTGTAAGAACTTAATTAGTGGGGTATGCATACTAAATATGAAGTCCCTATCTCCTATGGTTCAAAAGTTATGGCAAAAAGTGGAAAAAGCTATTTTTAGTATAAAGGTCACAGTCAAGGTCACATGGTCATTGACCTTGGTGTTGTTTGAAAGAACTTTATTAGTGGAGTATGCATACTAAATATGAAGTCCTTATCTCTTATGGTTCAAAAGTTATGGCAAAAAGTGGAAAAAGCTATTTTTAGCATATAGGTCACAGTCAAGGTCACAAGGTCATTGACCTTGATGTCATTTCAAGGAACTTTATTAGTGGAGTATGCATACCAAATATGAAGTCTCTATCTCTTATGGTTCAAAGGTTATGACAAACAGTGGAATAACCTATTTTTAGCATATAGGTCACAGTCAAGGTCACAAGGTCATTGACCTTGACGTCATTTGAAAGAACCTCTTTAGTGGAGTATGCATACCAAATATGAAGTCTCTATCTCTAATGGTTCAAAAAATATAACAAACAGTTGAAAAACCTATTTTTAGCATATAGGTCACAGTCAAGGTCACAAGGTCATTGACCTTGATATCATTTGAAAGAACTTTATTAGAGGAGTATGCATACCAAATATGAAGTCTCTATCTCGTACGGTTCAAAAGTTTTGGCCAAGGTTATAGTTGACAACAGACAAACAGACAAACAGATAAACAGACAAACAGACAAACAGACAGGAAAAAACAATATACGCCCCGAAAAAATTCGGGCGCATAAAAATTTCAAAGATTTAATGTATTTTCACTATATCATCAATAGAGCCCCGCCCTAATACCAGAACCCCTGACCCTTGGGCCATAATATTCACAATTTTGGAAGAGTCATTCTTGTTCATCATAACTATGTACTTAGTTAGTTTATTTAATACCTAGGAGCAGAGAAAAAGATTTTCAAAGAATTCATGTATCTTCACTATTTAATCGATAGAGCCCCACCCTAATACCAGAACCACAGACCCTGGGGTCATAAAATTCAAAATTTTTGGTAGACGCTCTCCTGCTCATCATAACTATGTACTTAGTAAGTTTATTTAATACCCAGGAGCAGAGAAGAAGATTTTCAAAGAATTCACGTATTTTCACTATATAATCAATAGAGCCCCGCCCTAATACCAGAAACCCTGATCCCGGGGCCATGAAATTCACAATTTTTATAGAGGCACTCTTGCTCATCATAACTATGTACTGTGTTGGTTTATTTAATACCCAGGTGCAGAGAAGAAGATTCTCAAATAAATAATGCATTTTCACTAAACATGTATACTTACTTAGCCCCGTCCTAGCACGAGACCACGGGGCCGAGAATTTAACAATTTTGGTAGAGGACTTAATGCTTATTATCATTATGCAAACAGTTTGACTGCTTCATGTCCAGGAGTAAAGAAGAAGGATTTTAAAGATTGCATTAATTTTAGTGGTTTTGGCCCCACTTCTCAGGGCCAGGGGGGCAGGAATAATGAAATTCACAATTTTTATAGAGGCACTCTTGCTCATCATAACTATGTACTGTGTTGGTTTATTTAATACCCAGGTGCAGAGAAGAAGATTCTCAAATAAATAATGCATTTTCACTGAACATGTATACTTACTTAGCCCCGTCCTAGCACGAGACCACGGGGCCGAGAATTTAACAATTTTGGTAGAGGACTTAATGCTTATTATCATTATGCAAACAGTTTGACTGCTTCATGTCCAGGAGTAAAGAAGAAGGATTTTAAAGATTGCATTAATTTTAGTGGTTTTGGCCCCACTTCTCAGGGCCAGGGGGGCAGGAATAATGAAATTCACAATTTTGTTCCCCTTTACCAATAAACGCTTTGTGCCAAATTTGGTTGAAATTGGTTCAGTGGTTGCAGAGAAGGATCTGAAAATGTTCAAATGTTAACGCACAGCGCACGACGCACGTCGACGGACGAAAACAGATAGCAATAGGTCACCTGAGTTTACTCAAGTGACCTAAAAACATAATTATAATTTTTTTTAGAGTAGAATTGCTCAAATAATATAAAAGTTTAGACCAATAGGCAACAAAAAAAATCAAAGAACGCTCTGATGCCTTCTAGGATGTATATATTCATTTCTTGCTTCATTGTAAAAGGATAAAGCAATAAATACTGAACACTATGTAAATAGTGATCTGCCAATTACCTGTAGGGTGACGCATTAAACTTTCAAGACTTCTAAGCACTTCAAAACTATGTTTCATAGAATCAAATATTCAACAAAGATAAACAATGTAACAATTTGACCATTTCAGTATGTAAGAAATGTGATTTACACAATGCAAATCAAAGCAGGACAAAACTATCGCTAAAATAAATAAACACAATTGTGACAGTTACTATAATAAGGTTCTCATTATTTTAATCAACGTAACACTGCATGAAAAAATTTTCTGACAATCACAGACCTTCATTTTAAAATAAGAAATGCTTTCATCTAAACTTTATGATTTAAATTCATAAACAGATTATTTGTTTATATTTTACTTTTCACATCAATTAATGCTCTTTGATATTTTGTTTTCTTCTTTCAATTTTACAAAGGTATATATTTCTACTGTAATTGCAATTTTTGGGGTTCTTTATCATAGTTCTTCATTCACATTAATTTGCTGTTCATTTGGTTATACGTTTCTCTATAAGGTTGGTTCTTACAATCCCTTTGACGTTTGTCCTACAGATGGGCATTTGGTGAGAATGGGGGCACACTGTGGGCAGGACATGAGGTGACCGCAGGGCAGGAATACGATTGAGACTTTCTCATCAAGGCAGATCTTACAGATGGTCAGGTCCTTCAATTCATTATTCTCCTGCTTCAGCATATTAGGATCAGCTAAAAATAAAAAAAATTAATTACTAGTATCTCAATGCTGAAAATTCATTTGTCCTCCATTATTATGCATTATGTCATTGAATATTATGTGAAACTATTTCATCAGTGTGCCGAAATCTTTTAAACTCATTTGGAATACGTAAATTACATTTATCGATAAAATGCTGTATAATGCATGCCTGTTTAGAATGTTAACTTTGAAAAGTAAGCTATTTCTCTTGATGAAATTAATTTTGGAAAAAATGATGTGCAAGCATTATAAGATATTTTCATAATAAATTGCAAATGATGTATTTTCACTATTCTCGTTTAAACAGTTGGACCCCCCTCCACCAGAACTACTGACCCAGGGGCAATAAAATTCACAATTTTGGAAGAGGCAATATCCCTCATTATAATTATGTACTTACGAATTAGTTTGTTTAATACTAAGGAACAGAGAAAAAGATATTCAAACAACTAATGTATTTTCACTATATTTTCAGTAAAGCATCCCAAACACCAGAACCCCGAACCCAGGGACCATGAAATTCACCATTTTTGAAAAGACATTTTTGGTTATTATAACCATCAAATTGGTAAATGTATTTAATAACCAGGAACAGAGAAGAAGATTTTCACTAAATGTATATAATCAATAGAGCCCCGTCATAAACACACTTACCCCAACCCTGGAAGAATGAAATTCACAATTTTGGAAGAGACAGTCTTATTCAGCATAACTATGTACATGTGTACTTGGTTAGTTTATTTAATGCCCTGGAGCAGAGAAGAAGATTTTCAAAGAACTAATGTATTTTCATTTTATAATTTATTTAGCCCCGCTCTAGCACTAGAATCTCTGACCCTGGGGCGATGAATTGCACTATTTTGGTAGAGGAATCCATGCTAATTACATTTATGGCAACAGAAGAACTGCTTGATATCTTCGAGGAGAGAAGATGATTTTTAAAGATTGCATTCATTTTCCTGGTTTTGATCCAACCCCTCAGGCCCCAGAAGGAAGGGGCTTGGACCATGAAATTTACAAATTTTCCAAATTTACACTTTTATGCTTTGTGCCAGATTGTTTAAGCGGTTACAGAGAAGCTGAAAATGTTCAAATTTCAAATGTTAACACACGATGGAGGACAGACGACGAACGGCGGCGGACAAAAACGGATAGCAATAGGTCACTTAAGTTTACTCATGTGGCTCAAATAGAATTTCCTGACTTGGTGAAGGTTTTAGAAAGCCTTAAGTAAAGACCATTTGCTCACTGTGTTGATCAGCACTCTCTTGATTGCTGACCCCACGCACTGCGACCGTCTCTCTGCGAGATGCTCGTCTGAAGCGGACAAATCGGCTAGTCGAAAGGCTTAAAGCCATGATTCATTATTTAAATCAAAACGTGTTCAAAACAGACCATTTCTGTTACATGTACCTTGTACATGTACCAGAACAAAATCTTATTTCAGTCTAAGTCATTTTTTTGAACAGTTGTTATTGAACAACTTGGTCACCAAGGTAATGTATACATAAAGCTTCCGATGGCCAATATAACATGATACAATTTAAGATACTTTGACTGACATTACATATTAATACAAGAGGCCATATACATGTAGGTCATAATCACCTGAGCATCATGCAACAACTTTCCATGATTGAATGTGGTTCATGTTTTAAACTATACGCCATGGAATTTACTATTTTGAAAGAGGCACCATTGCTCAGCCTTACTATACACTTAACAATTGCTTTGATTGCTAACTAAATATCAAAATGAAGGATAGGGGAACTAAAATTGCATTTCAAATCTGTAGAACCTCACCCTAACACTAGAATCCCTGACCCTAGGACCATAAAACTCAAAACTCTGAAAGAGGCATTCTTGTTCATTTTAACTATGTACGTACTTAGTAAGTTGTATAATGCCCAAGAAGAGAGAAAAAAAGTTTCAAATAAGTTCTGCATTTTCACTATAAAACCAATAGAGTCCCCCCCCCCTAAGGTTACAGCACAAAAAAGCTGAACCTTGGGCTATAAAATTCCCAGTTTTCGAAGAGGCATTCTTGATCATCAGAACTAAATACTATGTTTATTTAATACCCAGGAACAGAGAAGATTTTCAAAGAGTTGATGTATTTTCACTATATAATACATAGAGCTCCGCCCTAACACCAGATTTCCAGATCCTGAAGTCATAAAATTCAAAATTTAGGTAGAGGCATTCTTGCTCATTATACCTATCTACTTAGTTTGTTCATTGAATACCAAGGAGCAGAGAAGATGATTTTCAAGGGGAAAATCATTTTCACTGTATTATTTATTTAGCCCGCCCTAGATCATGGGCCATGAATTTCGAAATTTTGGTCGCAATGCCCATTACATGCATATTCGTACCAACGTTAAGTAGTAAAGAAGAAGACTTTTCAAGCTTGTACTAATATTAGTGATTTTGTCCCACCCCAAAAGCCTCAGGGGTCAGGGACTGTGGAATTCAAGAACTTTGTTCCCCTTCTTCAATAGATTCTATTTGCTAAAATTGGCTGAAATTAGTTGAGCGGTTTCAGAGAAGAAGCTAAAAATGTTCATATGTTAACAAATGACGCAGTGCCGATGACGACGTGCGAAAACGGATACCAACAGGTCGTCTGGGTGACTCAGGTAAAAGAAAAACACAATTCTTACCATTAAAAGCTGATGACGCTGATTTCCAGTTTTCCTCATGGATCTTTAGATCTTTCCATATATTTTCTTTAGTGAATGCACCCCAACCTAAGTAAACATGAATTAGTTTTATAACACATAGAAACACTCCCTTGATTTAAAACGTCAATTTCAAAGGACCTGATATTTTAAAACGCATTTAACATTCATAAATAGATAATTTTTGTGAATAAAAGGATTAAAGGCACACGGGTGTTGTTTTCTCTACAACTACAGGAAGTGATGCTATTGAGAAAACCATCACACATCAAGGACCTGTGAAGATTTCTTTCTACGAAAATGTACATGTTGTTCATTTTGCTGTTTATAAATTGAACATACTTGGACTGCTTCAAATCTGAAACTCAATGCTGTACATAAACATGTACCGGAAAATTTTAACGCTCATTTTCAATCGGCAACTTTTGTTATCACAATTGCTTATTTTCCAAAGTAAAACTAAAATGGACTTGGAGTTAAAAGACAAAGATGGAAGCGAAACTGCATAAATTGAAATATGAAATATAATCAGGATGTTTAGATTTACAAATAATATTCTAACAAAATTCTAAATGAAGCTTACTCATGGGTATCTATTGATGTTTGACCTTACTCTTTTTATATACGAGTATTGCATGTTTTCATTAAGAACAAATTTAAAAAACAGCACAAAACTTTGAAAATGTATGGGCGACGGAAAGGGAAAAAAGACGTTAATGCTAAACTAACGTCTCATTTCAAAAACACACTTAAAAACAAAATCAACAGAGTCGTTTGCAAAATCAACACATGCAAAAACCAGCTATCACCAATGCAAAACCAACAGTCATTAAAAATTTAAAATTAAAGCGCTAACGTTTTACAACTTGTGCTGTCGTCTTTCCTTTTATTTAAATATTTATTGCTGGACACTGTGGCTATTATATAATTTATTGTATAAACATTTTGGAAATATATATATATATATATATATATATATATATATATATATATATATATATATATATATATATATATATATATATATATATATATACCTCAACGCACTTTTTAAACTCACATGGTTTTTTGCACAATTTAAGGTAAAATTTTTATGATGCAAAGGTTGTATAACGTGACAACGCTATGTTTAATTTCAAAAGTGATGTATAACTTCAATTGATCTTGCTCCATTTCTTGAAATATAATTCACACAACATAATTGGTAGAATTTAGAAGTCCAGGCCCCAGGATCATGAAACAAACTTAGACTTAAGTCAAATATTTTTTCGCCTATAAAATGTTTATTAATTATGGAATCTATTTCTAAATTTGAATATAGCAACACCTCAGTGAAGCAATATTAAAACAAGGTTTCAATTTTGGCATGCTTGACTTCAACAAAGTTTTATCATAGAATAAAGATTTTGACTTAAGCTTAAGATGTTTCATGTTCCCGGGGCCTGGGTAATAGATTTTCACTGTTCCTAAATGATTTTTCATGGTTTTTCGTCAAATAGAGCCGTTTTCAGTTCATTCAAAATTCACCTTTTATTATACACTGAATTGATGACGGTTTTTTTCCGTTATTTCTTGATCATGACAAGGAGCACACGGCGGGTGTGACCGGTCGGCAGGGGATGCTCACTCCTCCATGGCACCTGATCCCACCTCTGATGTTTCGGGGGTCCGTGTTTGCTCTGCTCTTGTTTTGCATTGTTTAATGGACTTTGAGATTGAATACTGTTCGTTATCTCCATATCCTTCTTCTACTATTTTTTGGACAACTCTTGTACAGCATGCATGTATAGTATACATATTTCATGATATCTTTGACATGCTCATAATATTATGAACTCCTATGCCTGCCTTCCATATAAAATTTTCGTTATTGCAAATTCTTGAATATAAGATATGCTCCATTTTTTATAATTTTTTTAGAAATGTTTTCACTTAACTTACTTTTATGATTTGAATTTATAAAGAGATTATAAACAGGTTATATTTTACTTTTCCCATCAAGTAAAACACTATGATACTTTGCTGTCTTCTCTTCATTTTACAAAAGTATATTTCTATATAATTGTAATTTTTTATGTTCTTTAATATGATTCTTCATTCACATTAATTTGCTGTTCATTTTGTTGTACTTTTCTTTACAAAGCAAGGTTAGTTCTAACAGTCCCTTAAATATTCTTCCTACCTATGGGACATTTCGTGTGGGCGGAGGCACACTTGGGGTAGAATACCAGGTGACCGAAGGACAGAAATGCGATGGAGACTTTCTCATCCAGGCAGATCTTACAGATGGTTAGGTCCTTCAACTCCTTATTCTCCTGTTTCAGAGTATTAGGATCAGCTAAAAATAAAAAAAATTAATTACTAGTATCTTAATACTGAAAATGCATTTGTCCTCCATTATTACGTATTATGTTATTGAGTATTATGTGAAACTATTTCATCAGTGTGCCGAAATCTTTTGAACTCATTTTAGAATACGTAAAAAACATTTATCGATAAAATGCTGTATAATGCATGCTTGTTTACAATGTTCACTTCGAAAAGTAAGCTATTTCTCTTGATGAAATTAATTTTGGCAAAAATGATGTGCAAGAATTATAAGATATTTTCATAATAAATTGTAAATGATGTATTTTCACTATTCTCGTATAAACAAATGGACCCCCCTCCCCTCAATGCCAGAACTATTGACCCAGGGGCAATAAAAATCACAATTTTGGAAGAGGCATTCTCCCTCATTATAACTATGTACTTAGTTTGTTTAATACAAAGGAACAGAGAAAAAGATTTTCAAAGAAATAATCATTTTCACTATATTATCAGTAAAGCCTCGCTAACACCAGAACCTCGAACCGATGGACCATGAAATAATTCATTTTCAAAAATACAATTTTTGCTTATTATAACTTATATCTTATTGTTGAATGTATTTAATACCCAGGAACGGAGAAGAAGATTTTCAAAGAATTTGTTCATTTTAACTGCATGTTTGAAAGAAGGATATGGAGATAACGAACAGTATTCGATTTTAAAGTATATTAAACAATATACAAAATAAGAGCAGAGCAAACACGGACCTCTGAAACATCAGAGGTGGGATTAGGTGCCATGGAGGAGTGAACATCCCCTGCCGACCGGTCACACCCGCCGTGTGTATGACCAGGAAATAACGGAAAAAAATCCGTCGTCAATTCAGTGTTTAAATAATGGATTAACAATTGATATGAAAAACGTCAGTCAGCATTTGACTTGGTGATAAATTGTATTTGCTGACAAGGTCATTGTATCAACCATAGAATTTACGAAATGATGACTTTAAACGAGACTGTTGATATTATTGTTTCATCAACTTGCTTGTCAATAATTTACCTCGTTTAAGATATTGTTCATACGTAGAGCACGCTCTTGCGTATCGAATCAACTGAGATATATTTACTCCGTTTGCAGGTGATGAAATCAATAGAGCTCCGTCATAAACACACTTATCCCCAACTCTGGAGTAATGAAATTCATATTTTTGGAAGAGACTGTGTTATTCAACACAACTATGTACTTGGTTAGTTTATTAAATGCCCTGGTGCAGAGAAGAAGGTTTTCAAAGAAATAATGCATTTTCATTACATAATATATCTGATTAATACATGTACCGAGGAGCAGATTTCAAACAATTCATTTCAGTATATAATTAGAGCCCCCTTCTATGGTACCCAGGTCCCGGGGGCCTTGAAATTCACAAATCTGGAAGAGGGGCCCTTGTTTATCATGGTTATATAAATGTACAATTTATGTAGGTAGTTCATATCTATTTTATACCAAGGATCAGAGGAAAAGATTTTCAAAGATATCATGTATTTCCATTTTATAATTTATTTGATTAATACATTTACTGAGGAGCAGTTTCAAACAATTCCTTTTCAGTATATAATTATAGCCCCCCTCCATGGTACCCCCCTCCCGGTCCCGGGGGCCTTGAATTTCACAATTCTAGAAGAAGGCCTCTTGTTCATCAAGGTTATATACATGTACATAATTATAGGTAGTTCATATCTGTTTTATACCCAGGAGCAGAGAAAAAGATTTTCAAAGATATAATGTATTTTCGTTATATACTTTATTTGATTAATACATGTACTGAGGAGCATATTTCAAACAATTCATTTTCAGTTTATAATTAGAGCCCCTCTCTATGGAACCCCGGTCCCGGGGGCCTTGAAATTCACAATTCTGGAAGAAGGGCCCTTTTTCATCATGGCTATATGCATGTACATGTAGGTAGTTCATCTGTTTTATACCCAGGAGCAGAGAAAAAGATCTTTAAAGATATAATGTTGAACCTCACACTTACACCAGAATCCCTGATCTTAGGAGCATAAAATTCAAAACTCCAAAAGAGCCATTCTTGTTCATTTTAACTATGTACGTACTTAGTTGTTTAATGCCGAGGAAGAGAGAAAAAGAATTTTAAAGAATTTCTGCATTTTCAATATAAAATCAATAGAGCCCCGAGAGCAGAAAAACTGAACCTTGGGCTATAAAATTCCCAATTTTGGAAGAGGCATTCTTGATCATCATAACTATACGAGTATACTATGTTTATTTAATACCCAGGAACAGAGAAGATTTTCAATGAGTTGATGTATTTTCACTATATAATACATAGAGCTCCTCAATAACACCAGATTTCCAGATCCTGAAGTCATAAAATTCAAAATTTAGTTAGAGGCATTCTTGCTCATTATAACAACGTACTTAGTTTGTTCATTGAATACCAAGGAGCAGAGAAGATGATTTTCAAGGGGAAAATCATTTTCACTGTATTATTTATTTAGCCCCGCCCTAGATCATGGGCCATGAATTTCGAAATTTTGGTCGCAATGCCCATTACATGCATATTCGTACCAACGTTAAGTAGTAAAGAACAAGCTTGTACTAATATTAGTGATTTTGTCCCACCCAAAAAGCCTCAGGGGTCATGGACTGTGGAATTCAAGAACTTTGTTCCACTTCTTCATTAGATTCTATTTGCTAAAATTGGCTGAAATTAGTTGAGCGGTTTCAGAGAAGAAGCTAAAAATGTTCATATGTTAACAAA